GTGCGGCGCGAGGCGGAGGCGGACGGAGGCGGAGGCGGGCGGGGTCGGGGCGGGGCGGAGGCGGCCGGAACGGAGGCGAACGCAATGGGGCAGCGGCCTAGGCGGGGTGGAATCAATGGCGGGGGTCTGGATCTACGACGGGGCGAGCCCTTAGAAAGTTAACATGTAACTCTTGCAAACTATTTCAAGAGCCCGTGGCAACACACGGACACTCTACTAGTTAATGAATAGAGTCTTGCTTTTATAAAGAAAATCAGAAGTACACAATTTTGTAGACACTAAACTCTTGCTGTCAATTCTTAAAAAAAATCCTGCTGTCAAAATAAAAAAGCCTCTAAACCAGACCTGGCCAAACGGGCCGGCCCGGCACTGCACGGCCCGGCCTATGCTAATCGTGCCTGGCACGTTTAATAGCCGGGCCGTGCCGTGCCGGCCCACGGGCGCTGCTCCTTGGCCCAGGCACGGCCTGATTAGTAAACGGGCCGGCCCGATGACCCATTTAGCACGCTGGGCTGCACATTTTTAGTCTGCTGGGCTGGTTTTTAGGCCTATTAGACTATATTTTAGGTATATATATAAACAAATTCTGAAAAATATATAAAAAATTAAACGGGCCGTGTCGTGCCGGCCCGCGTGCCCAGGCTCCAGGCCCAGGCATGGCCCAAAGCGTGCCGCGTGCCGGGCACGGCCCGTTTAGCCTGTGCCGTGCCTGGCCCATGACGGGCCGTGCCGGCGTGCTTGCGGGCTGGCCTGTTTAACACGGCCCGTTTGGCCAGCTATACTCTAAACACCAAATTCCCCGTGCGTACTGTCGCAAGTCGCGGCTAACAACGAACCGGCGACCCGCAGCAGAGCCCTGGATGGAGATCGCTCAGCGCGACCACGACCACGACCTCTCGCCGGAGGCGGCGAGGATGCTCCGCGAGATGGCGCTGCGGGGTCGCGAGGAGGGAGTGGAGCCCGATCTGTCGGACGAGCAGCTGCGCTCCAACGACCAGCTCCAGCAAGACGAGGTGCCCCCTCCTGAAACTCCGTGCTTCGCCCTAAACCTCGTTACAGATAAACCCTTGGGCCGATTTCGCACTGCAAACCCCTCCCCTGGTCGCGGCGTCCACTGACTCCTCCAAATTTTCCAAAGCTCTTGTGTAATTTCAGACCGCAAACCCTAACACTGGAAGGTAGAGGTAGCAGAAAAGGTCTAGTGTAGTGCAATTTCGCTGTAGCTGAGCAGAAAAACAGGAACATCCATTCAGTTTTTGTGGTCCTCTTGTGTCACGCACAGGTTGTGATTTGGAATATGCTGCGACTTGACTGTAAGATCCAAGTATTTTGCTGCTCTGCCGTTCAGCTAAGCAGGTTCCAAACTGAAGGCATGCATACAATACTCTAGGAAAGTTGGTTTCAGAATTGGAGTGTCACTTCCAGGCTTCTGGTGTGCAGGATATCAAAACAGAGGAAGTTCCACTCACAACAAAAAAAGAAAGAAAAAAACAGAGGAAGTTCCGACATTGGTTAACAAACATTATCTGAATATAGTTTCATAAGCAAATTAATTTACTGCATAGGAGTTCTCTTCTCTTCAAGGCAAAAACCCCATAAATTTTCTTATACAAAACAACCCGTGTTCAGAAACAGAGAATGAGCATTGGTCGTCTCAAACTGGATGTGAAAAAATTATACCGAGTTTTCAAAGAGTAAATGCTGAGGTAACCTTATTCTGGGATATCTTATTTGTTTCTTAGATGTTAGCGCTGGAGGCAATTTATGGAGACAAGATATGCATTTTTGGTGAAAAGGCTGGACCGCGATCTTTCCAGGTACAACTGTTTTTTAATTGGCCCCAGACTCCCAGGAATCAGTAACTATCATCGACACACAAAAACCATGATTATTGTTTTTTCCATTTTTAATTATTCGCAGATTCAGGTTAATTGTGAAATTCCAGATGGTATCACTGTTACCGTAGAACCATTCCAGGGTGATGATGATGACCCAAAGAGCCAGTTCCTTGAAAACTTCAGTGTCAAGCACTTGGCTCCGCTATCACTGACATGCCTCATGCCTCCATCGTACCCAAGCCATCATCCTCCATACTTCACTCTCGGTGTACAATGGTTGGATAATGTGAAGGTCTCCTCCCTTTGTCACATGCTCGACTTGATCTGGGCGCAACAAGCTGAACAGGAAGTTGTTTATGAGTGGGTGCATTGGCTGCAGAGCTCTATGCTTTTTCATCTTGGTTTTGACAACGGAATAGTCATACGACAGCCTCATAGTGCGGTCAGTCAAGTGGATTTTCGGGTTGTGGGAGAGATTTTGTCTGCAGAGTCTGTCGTTCAACAGTTGATCAGCTACAATGAGGAGCAATGCCATGAATCCTTTCTCCACGGGCTTCATGCCTGCATGATTTGCTTCAGCGAGTACACAGGTAACTTGAATGCTCTAGTTGATGCTCGGGTACTCTTCCTGGGGCTCATTTCTTGCACTATGCTCTGCATTATACTAGTGGACCCGTTGCGTCAAATGGCGCAGAGGCACGCTAAATCCATGTGCGCGATGAAAAAAATATATCCATGGTTTAATTCCCTTGAATAGGAAACATGGTGGATTGTAAATTACGGTTGCGCCAAATGGCACAAGGTCCCGGTTCAAACCCATAGTTATTTACAAAAAAATGTTTTCCAATGTAGTAATTGTTTGTATCTCTGTAATTCTTAAAGATAAGGATGTTTCTTTTAAAATATGTAATGTCATTTTCAGCCTACTAACATCAAGATGTAGCAAGGCGAGAGAAAATGTGATTGTAATTATCTTCACTTTATTCAATCGGTCGAGAACTTGAAGCAGAATGGAGGAAAAGCCCAATTAAACTAAGAACTTAAAGCCATTATTTTTCTCAACTTATGGGTGTATGATCTTGACATTGTACAGAGAATTATTTGCATATCAAAGCCTTTATTTGGTGATAAAGTTTCTCCCTTATGTAACTTATCATTCACAATGTTAACATGGATAAGTAATACTCCTCCGACATGCAATGTACGACGTTTTTGCAAGCTATTATTTACACAAAGGATCTCCCAGAACCTATGGAATAAAATTGTGTATAGAACCTTTTCTGAGAGCAAGAGTGTCATCCCCCAAAACCTTCATGGTTGCATGAATGAAACTTAGGTGTTGTTTAGCGCCTACAGCTCCTAAAGGATCTCCCATAAACAGGGGGGGGGAAAGTTAACAAAACAGCCAACAATACTGGTGCCAGGACTCGACAAACGAAATTCCAATTCCACATGCTCAGGATCTTGACATCAATCGCCTCAGGTGTACCCACCCAGTCACCGCTTCAGTAATCCTTTTCTCAGTGCTTCTTAGCCAGGAAACTTCCAGCAGTTGCAGGCTGGAGTTAAAGGGTTGAGCCCAAGATCAACTTCATTGAGTATGTAACTGTACGTTTTAGTCAGTAGTAGGATGAATGAACTCACTATGTATGCAAGCAGTAAATAAGACAAATATTGTCATACCTCATCCATTGGCACGGATATCACCGATCTGAACCTGGCTATAAAACGTACCAACATGTAAAGGAAGGATTAGAGAAAAGGAGAAAAAAAGCATGTACCTTAGGCAGCTCGACATAAACTGCCAGTATCAAACAATTCTAGTTCTCTAAAGAAAGAAGTGTATGTACAGAGAAATTTAGCCAGACAACTTGCCCACAAGCATGAGCTCCCACGTGGCGAAATTATTGATTATTTCTAATACGGCCAACAACAAATTAGATACATATGGCAAGATAAAGCTTCAGAAATTTCCTACTATGTATTACAAAGGTAAAAGGCTAGCAGTACCACTGACAAGTATTCAAGTGTAAGATAAAGTGTAAGAATTAAAGGCATTTACATGGACTGCCATTAGCTCATGGGCAAGGTCTGCTGCTAATGGATCGCCACTAAGAACATGAAGTTACTATGCAGTCTGCAGTCTGCAATGAAAGAACTTCATTATAAACATATGTTCCCAGCCTGGTCCTTGCTTTGAAAAGAGAAGCAAAAAAGGATTATGCAATAGACATACTAAACACCAAGGCAATGCAAAATATTCACTATTTTACTCATATTTTTCGACTACACATCTTAACTGGCCCTAAACAATATATTACAGATAATGAAAAAAACTTCTTAAGGAACTCACAGGTTATGATTCTACCAACCTACCATTTTCACTCATTCTGTAAAATGACCACGTCAACACTAATTTTATATGAAGCTACAAAGAGATAATAATAAGAGCGACATTGATGAAAACTGAAATCACAATGTACGTCATAGCAATACCCGACCTCTGTTCTAATAAAATCATACTATAACAATTTGTGTATAGAAAATTATATATATCTACCTGACCTATGTTATAATAGCATTATATATATGCTTCACTCAGTGTGCGTACAGTTTTTAGAATGTAAATTTTCCCATATTTTGAGAAATCATTTCAGGATTGCAAGGAACAGTTTTGCAAGGAACAACATTGCAAGTAAATCACAGACATATATCTACTAAAAACCAGTGTTGTTTCCTCCCTGCTCATTTTGATTTGCTGCTAGTATCCAAGTGATAAAGAGATGTATGGCAGTGGCATTTGGTTAGCCACTGACCCACAGCTTGTTTAGTTCTCTGATCTAAACCCTCTCAGTAGCATACTCATCGAGAGGTACACCACAGTTCCAACTTGAGCAAATGAAACTGAACTTATGCTTAAACGACGTTATGAGATGAAATAAAAGGGAGAGAAGTGAACATGAGGCTATAAGATGATCCCCAAGTTTCAACTTAGATGTCTGTTTCTGTTACATGAGATCTCCGTAAGCTATATATATGCTACCAACTGTAGAAAACAAGTACTTATTATGTTGAAAAAATCAGTCCAGCCATTCGTGTATAAGAATTTTTTAAAGACCATCAGGCAAGACACTTGCACTGTTGTACAATGGTATCAGGTTTCAGCCAAGGGGCTACATGTAACGGCTGCAGGAGGGGACAACACAGAGGCCATTTCCTTGCATCACGAATAAATGGGCCAAGGAGACACAAGCAGCCCAGAGGCCACACTGGTATCAAAAAATAAGACAGTTAGCAGAGGGAATAAAACTTCAAAAAGGAAACAAAAAATAGGCAATCCAAAAAGAGAAAAACGACTGCATGTTACAAAGCAGTATAGCACACATAGAAGAGCAAACAATAACTGATCCCGCGGAGAGCAAGCAATAACTGAACAATATACACACATATAATAAGGTAGGGTTCACTTCATAATATAGGGGAGTTTTGTTTTTATCTTGCGTTGACACAGCCACTCGAGCAGTCAAAGACTCTAGCTTTAAAGCATGCTTAATAAGAAGCATTCAGTTACAGGAAAGCATTCATGAACCCACACCAGGCCGAGCTCCAAAAAACTCTCGCCGAGGCACTCCACCAGAACCATCCCCAGGAAGCTCAAGCTCCACCCAGCAAGGACAGAGCCATCTTCTGCGACCTCACACAGGTGCAAAAGGGATGGCAAAGCGCACTCGACCACCACAGCCTCCAAAATAGGAATAATAACCCAAACAAACGCACACATCCTGCTGGCATGAAAGAACGAAATATATAATAAAGTACACGACACCCGGCCATGTCCGGAACAAACGATTAGGAGGCTATAGAACATGAAAGCACACACAGAAAGTAGAGCAGCAAGACAGGCAGAGATCAAAACAGCAAACCTTGACGCGACCCAACGAGCAGAATGAAGACGCGGCGATGAGCTAAACGGAGATTCTGCACCAAATCAGCAAGATGGAACAACCTGTAAAATAGAAAGGGAAATAATCAGTACAGAACAACGGCATGCAAATGCAACTATATAGGAACTATAAAAAACAAACCAACTGTACCGAAAGATAAAAGATCACACGCCATCGTCAAATAACCAGTCCATAAAGATCATTAGTACTACATAAGAGATCAGAACACAGGAGAAAGCAACAAGCACTGAAAGCACACTGTGCTGCAATGGTATTCCAAAACAGGCGCAACGATGGAAACAAAAGCATCAGCATCATCATATCCTCATACAAGACGCAGTAACTGACACCGCGAACCATGCACAACTAACGCAAGATGAAAACACGCGGCAGCATTCATCGAGCAATCCTCGCGCATTTCATCAAACACCTAACAGGCATGCACCCGTAGAGAAGCAGAGAAGGCGCGCACTAACCTGGACAGCAAGGACAGAACAAGCCACGCTCCTACGAAGGAGCCAACGCGAAATCCAAGGAAGCTGCGCACGAAGGGAGCAAATGGAAACAGACCAGATCAGCAAATCGTAGAAATAACGAACAACGGCAGGGAAGAACCAGAGGAGCGGAATAGAAAGAACCTCAACCAATGGAGGAACGGGTGGCCATGGTGCAGAGCCGGAGGACAGGGCGTTCGAACAAGACGGAGCGAGGCGACGAAGAGAGCGCGCAGCGAGTGGGCGAAGCGAGCGTGCACAGAATGAGAAGCAGGAGAAGAAGAAATGGGGGAAATTGAGGAGCCTGGCCATGGCAGGCGTACGTGACGCGGCAGCGGCCCCACGGAGTGACACACGCACGTCCACCGCGCCCCGGCCGCGCGTCGGGTACAGCAGCATGGCACCCAGCAAGCCACGCGGGCGAGTCACAGACCAGTGGGCCCATCCCGGCGTGGTGCCCACAGTCAGCAGCACGGCCGCAACAAACATGCGGACGAGCAAACCCAATCGAGCACCAACCCAAACAGAGAAACCACCCACCCGAACAGAGGGCGCAGAGATGGGCGACGGGTCAAAACGAACACAGGGAAAAAAAAGTTGATTCCCAATGACGAGCGGGGTCAAGGGAAGCGGGACCCAAGAGGCAGTGGCTAAGTGACCCACCGGACAGTGAGGAACGCGCCAGCGAACGGTAACAAACGACCCGCAGGAAAAAACAGTTTGACCAGTATCACGAAGCGACGCGGCATGGCGATAGCGGCCGCTCCATACGCGCGCCACGGTCAGCAGAATCCCATACGTGAGCCACGGTCAGCAGAATCACGAGCCAATCCAGACGCGGGAGGCCGCTCGCACATAAAAAACCACAACCACGATACTGACACGCGGGACCTAGGAGAAAGCAGGCCCACCTACAGCGGGCGAGCAGGAACCACAGACGGGGTGACCGGGAAACGCGCAACGCCCACAACGCATGCCCGTCCATGACGATCGCGCACGCGGCGCGGCAGGATCGGTCGCCCAGCACCCGAAAAAGGCTCACCCAGCCAATCTGATGAGAGACCGAGCCCACAGGTCATGGGCTGCATGAACTCACCCCGCGGTCAAAACAAGAACAGCCGAAGATCCAACGTCAACCAACCAATAAAACTTCTGTTTGACCAACATCCAACGATCGAAACTGAAGCAAATCGAGGGACAACCGTGGAAACGAGTTGGCTAGCCTCATTATATGTTAAAATTATCTCTACTTTTTTCGTCTGAATATGCTGTGTTCTGCACATGGTAATTTTTTCAGGGCTTACCATTTATCATTTCAAAATATATACATTGGATGCTGAATTGGGGCTCCATGATTTAATGAGCACGAATTCGAGCCTATATTGACCGCAATTTGGGAAAAATATCACATAACTAGAATATAATATTTGTTCAAAATTTGTTTCAACTATTTAGTACTCGTCATGGCACAACATGTTAAACCTGACAAAAATACTCCCTCCTTCCCAAAATATAAGGCACGATTGACTTTGCACAGTCTTTGATGCACGACTTTGACCACTAATATATATGTCTTGCAAAACATGGTTTGAAGATGTATAATGGCATCGTCCTATTTGTCTTGCAATTTTTTTTATTTCATATGTCTGTCATGCAATATGTGAAAATCATAGTCAAAGTTGTGCAACAAAGACAAGCAAAGTCAACCAGCACCTTATATTTTGGGGAGGAAGGAGTATCATTTTTCGCATATTCGTCAAGGCACAATTGAGCCTCTACTAATTATGTACAGCAATAAAAAATGTAGTGTCCATGTGTCACTGCGTTTCACTAATTATGTACACAATTGAGCCTCTGCTAATTGAACCAAGGAACCATTCAAAAGCCTAAACTTACCGTAGATAATCATGTCCATGTGTCACCCATCTGTGAAATAATCAATTAATCTTGGGCAATCTAAGTTCCATCATGTCAGGAGACTGGATCTTGTAAGAACTAAATCTGTGTCTTTTGATTACCCTTAGGCGTTGATTTTGTAAAGCTTCCATGCCAGCATTACTTTTGCCAGAGGTGCATGGAGACTTACTCAAGGATTCATCTCAAGGAAGGAACAGTACTAAAATTGGTGTGCCCTGATGACAAGTGTGGAGGCATTATTCCTCCTAATCTATTGAAGAGGTTGCTAGGAGATGCAGATTTTGAACGGTGCGAAAGCTTGATGCTTCAGAAGGCTCTAGATTCAATGGCTGATGTAGCGTACTGTCCAAGATGTGGAACAGCTTGCCTGTTAGACGAGGATAAAGCCAGATGCTCCAATTGCCTCTTCAACTTCTGCACCCGCTGCAGAGAGCCTTGTCACACAGGGAGGAGCTGCATTATTCTTACTCCAGAAGAAAAACTTCTCACCTTACAGGTAGTAAATGGATCTACCATGACATGCTCTATTTAAATTGCAGCTAAACAATACAGATTCTCATTTGCCATAAATATTACTCCCTCTGTCCCATAATATAAGAACGTTTTTGACACTACACTAATGTCAAAAACGTTCTTATATTATGGGACGGAGGGAGTAGCTGTGAAGGTTCAAGTCCAACTTAGGACATACAGAACACAGGGACTTAGGGATGTATCAAAAACATAAAACCGTAAGTATTGAGAATTGAGCCATGTGCCCTGCTGAAGTGCTGGACGTTGAAATTTGGGATGAGTGTAGTATGTAGACGACTGGACATGTCCTCCTCTCGAATTTATCATCGTAAAACGTTTTTCTTTTGGTCTACATAGAGGCTTTACAAGTATTTTGGACACAATAACTTTGCACATACTAATTTTTGATTTGAGGGTAACACATTCTTGTACTTAAGGCTATTATAGAATATGGTGCGTTCCCAGTAATATATGTTCGGTTGATCAATGCAATTAGATTTCTATTGAGATCACAATTATCAATATGTGCTTATTTTACGCAGGAACGTGCAAAGGTGCGCCGCTTGAGCAAAGGCGAAGTTGGCATGATAATTAGCTTGGCAAATGAAATATTTAGCATCAAGGAAGTGCTCCGTTCTTCCGTTCCATGTCCCCATTGTGGTATCGCCATTACACGTGTGTCTGGCTGTAACCACATGCTTTGCAGGAAATGTGGTAAACAGTTTGACTATGACCTTGCTGGAAGAAATAATGTCAGGGCTGTTGATTTTATTAAAGATGTCGAGATACAGAAAGAAGCAAGAGTGAGACTGTCCGCCAGCTTCAAACAACATCCGTGCCCGAAATGCCACCAGCCACATCACAAGGTAAAGTTGTTTTGGCTTTTCAGATATCAGTCTTTTTCATCATTTTTTCACCTGGTGTTGGGAAATGAATTCACTGACTCTTTTTCCTACGGGAAAAAATCACTGACTCTGATATGAGCAGATGGGGAACAACAACCACATCCTGTGCTTGGCATGCCAAGTTCATTACTGTGCTCTTTGTCGGAAGGTGGTGCGGAAGAGCTCAGAGCACTATGGCCCCAGAGGGTGCAAACAGCACACTGTCGATCCCGTGGTCGCTCAGACTAGAACAAAGAAAAATGATGACTCTGGATCAGAACTTGTGTGAAATGATACAAAGGGGGAGCATTGGTTTGGGCTACATTACTCTGTTCTTACATGTTTATTTTTGTGATGTTACATGCATATATACAGTTTGGAATAGCAATAGTTACACGTACAACCTATTTTTTATGGAACATGTTACTGAAGATCAGTGAACCTCTGAATTCACGACATTGGTGCTTGTAGGTTGGGGAGCATCAGTTGTATTGTTGCAAAGCTTGCTGGATTCAGTACATCATAATGTTCGGGAGCATCGGTTGTATTATTGCAAAGCCTGCTAGATTCAGTACAACATAATGTTTAAGGAATTAAGATTTATTACTTGGTTGCCCCTCTCACATTTTTTTAAGAACTTGTGGTTGGAAACGTTGGACCGTTGATACGGTATCATCACTTTGTTGGATGGTCGGTGATACCATCATCTCTCCGTATCCCTAACCACCCGGCTAGGGATAGCCATATTTTTTGTTTGATTGTGTGGGATGTCAAGTGGTTGAAGATAATCTTTTGTTTGTTTGGTTTGAGGAATGAGTTGTGGATAAGAATGTGGTGACCCTTTTTAATATGGATGCGATTACCCAAAATTGTAATAAAGAAAAACAATGCCATAACTTTTAGACCCTAACAAATCCCGTTTGGATTTTAAGCATGTAATCCTGAATATTTTTTCATGGCAACTTTAGTTGGCATGAGGTAGCAACTAGCAAGTTCAGTGGTTAAAACATGACAATTTTGTCTCAACTCGTCTTTTGTCAGAAAATTGCCATGTTTGCCAATCCTCACGTCAACTAAAGTTGCCATAAAAAACGTTTGGGTTGCCATGCTTAAAATCCGAACATTCAGGATTTATTATTTCCGTAACTTCTTTCCCGTTAAAAACAAGTAGGGATGTCCGCCATATCCAGATCGCAAGTCGGCTCTGAGTCAAGTTTTCTTTCTTTTTGGCTCTGAGTCAAGTTTTCTTTCTTTTTTACAGACTTCACTCTACCAAAAAAAGACCATGTGCGTGTGTGCGTTCATAGGGGTCAGTGTATGCACGTGTATATGAGCGCTTGTGTCTGTACTGATGTTAAAAAAAAAGACCCTGTCGGATTTGTAAGCCGGCCCACCACACATGGAATCCATCTCCGACTCGGTGCCGCATATAGTGCGCCTACAACTACCCAATCAATCCCCTCTAATCTGTACCCGGTGGAGTAAGCTTCCCTTGGTTATCCATCTTCCATCGGCTGATCGGCGGGGGCTCCCGCCAGAAACCGAAATAGATGGGTGATGTCAAGGAGGAGATGGACAGAGGCAGATCCTACTCCGACAATGTCGAAGCTGCAGATCCCACTCCCACCACCGTCGCCAAAACTGACGGCCGCGATATCAAGCTGCTACTTGAAGCTGCAGGTCCCGTGCTCATCAACAATGTAGAGGAATAGGATGCAACTCTCAATGTATTGATAGGTGCATATGCACAAGTATATATAGTATATAGGGCAAGTCATATCCTCAACTATACACAAGAAGGAGACTTGGAGTACAAGAATACATGTGCTAAATGCATATCTCAACACCCCCCCGGCAGTCAAAGCGACACCGTTGCTGATGCAGAGACTGGACCGGAATTCCTCGAAAGACGTCGTAGGCAAGCCTTTGATCATGATGTCAGCAAATTGTTGGGAGGTGGGAACATGCAGAACACGAACATGGCCAAGAGCCACCTGATCCCGAACAAAATGGATATCAAGCTCAATGTGCTTGGTGCGACGATGATGAACCGGGTTGGCGGAGAGGTAGACGGCGGAGACGTTGTCGCAGTAGACGACCGTGGCCTTCTCAACAGGACATGAGAGCTCGTGAAGAAGCTGACGGAGCCAGGAGCACTCAGCAACAACGTTAGCCACAACGCGGTACTCAGCCTCGATGCTAGACCGCGAGACAGTGTGCTGCCGCTTGGACGACCACGACACCAGGGACGGTCCAAGGAAGATGCAGTAACCCGAAGTAGATCGACGGGTGTCCGGGCAGCCAGCCCAGTCGGCGTCGGAGTAGGCGACCAGATCAGTGGCAGTGGAGGCGCGCAGAGTAAGACCAAGATCCATAGCACCGCGGATGTAGCGGAGAATCCGCTTAACGGCAGTCCAGTGAACATCTCGAGGAGCATGCATATGCAGGCAGACCTGCTGAACCGCGTACTGAAGCTCCGGTCGAGTGAGAGTGAGGTACTGGAGAGCACCAACAATGGACCGGTAGAAGCCAACATCCGAAGCAGGAGTACCATCAGTAGCAGAGAGCTTGGCCTTCGTGTCGACAGGAGTGACAGCTGGTTTGCAGTTAAGCATGCCAGCACGGTCGAGGAGCTCATGAGCGTACTTCCGTTGATGAAGAAAGAAACCATCAGGACGACGCACCACTTCAACACCGAGGAAGTAGTGCAACGGGCCCAAGTCCTTGATGGAAAACTCAGCACGGAGACGATCTGTAAGCCGGCGAAGGAGCTCAGAAGTGCATGCTGTCAGGATGATGTCGTCAACATAGAGCAGCAAATACGCCGTGTCGGTGCCCTGGTGATAAACAAACAGCGAAGCATCGAAGCGTGTAGAGCGGAAGCCGAGTTGGTGAAGAAACGCTGCGATGCGCTGGTACCAGGCACGAGGAGCCTGCTTGAGCCCATATAATGAGCGTGAGAGTAGACACACATGATCAGGACACGCCGGATCAACAAAACCCGTGGGCTGCTGACAGAAGACCTGCTCCTCAAGATGACCATGGAGGAACGCGTTGGAGACGTCCATCTGATGAACCAGCCATGCACGAGAGACCGCCAACTGTAAAATAGTGCGGATCGTCCCGGGCTTAACAAGCGGAGCGAAGGTGTCGGTGAAGTCCACACCGGCGCGTTGCCGGAAACCACGAACAACCCAACGCGCCTTGTAGCGATCAAGAGTGCCGTCGGGACGAAGCTTGTGTTTGAAGACCCACTTCCCGGTGATCACATTAGCGTGCCGGGGACGGGGAACAAGCTGCCAAGTCCGGTTCCGCTGCAAAGTGTCAAACTCCTCATGCATGGTGGCCATCCAAAGAGGGTCGCAGAGAGCGGTCCGAACCGAGGACGCAGCGGGGAAGGAGCGGACGTCGAGGCGCTGCAGACGTAGTCATCCGCATAGTGGGAGCTCGGGCGAAAAACACCGGTGCGCGAGCATGTGACGGGGCCGGCCATCGGAGCAGCCGCGGGTGGCGGCGAGGCCGTGGCATCCACGGCGTCCACGGGAGAGGCGGTGGCCTCCACGGCGTTGACGGGAGAGGCGGGCCGAGCGGAGGACGAAGCCGCAACGTCGGGAGAACCAGGCGACGACAGGGCCGCGATCGTGCCAGCAGGCAACAGAGGCGGGGTCGACGCCGCGCCAGGGGAGGCTGCGCCAGTAGGGGCCGGCCCAGCCGGCGGCCCAACATGCGGCCCAGCATGCATGGCGGGGGACCGGGGCGACGTGGACGACGTCGACGCGGCTCCAGGCGACGAGGGCGTCGAACTGGAGGAGGGAGCCGTGGATGGCCCCGATCCGGAGGAGGGTGTCGCGGGCGGGGGTGCCAGAGCACCCAAGGCCAGCAGCGGGCGGCGCGCGGAGGAGAACCTGTCGCGGGAGGGGAAGACGGTGCCACCTGTTCCTGTGCAAAGGGAAACACAAGCTCATCAAAGTATACATGCCGTGAGGTGATGACACGGTGAGACACGGGGTCATAGCAGCGATAACCCTTAGTGTTGGCCGGGTAACCAAGGAAGACACATGGAACGGAATGAGGAGCGAGTTTATGAGAGGTGGTGGCGGTGGTGTTGGGGTAGCCACGGCAACCAAAAATTCGGAGACCATCGTAGGAGGGGGAGGAGTGCCATATAAGAGATGGTGATGCGCGTAGTTCCAGCGCGGACGGCATGGCCGGAGGTTAAGTAGGAGGGTGGCGGTGGCGAGGGCATCTGGCCAAAACCGAGAGGGAATGTAGGCATGGAAAAGATGGGTACGCACACACTCATTGATGGTGCGTAGGATGCGCTCGACACGGCCATTCTGCTGGGAGGTGTATGGACACGTGAGGTGAAACACGGTGCCGTGGGAGGAAAGAAGATGGCGGATGGTGAGATTGTCGAATTCTTTCCCGTTGTCAGTTTGAAGTGAGAGTATGGGTCGCCCAAACTGTGTGGAGACATAAGCATAGAATGCAATGAGAGTGGCGGCGACATTGGATTTCCTACGAAGAGGAAATGTACACACAAGGTGAGAGTAATCATCCAGTATAACAAGATAATAAAGATAACCAGAATTACTAGGTACTGGAGATGTCCATACATCGCTGTGAATCAACTCAAACGGAAAAGATGCAACTGTGGAAGAGGAACTAAAAGGAAGGCGAACATGTTTGCCTAACCGGCAGGATTCACAGGAGTGAACGGCCGTTTTATTACATGAAAAAGAAAATCCTCTCATTATTTGACGAAGTGAAGAAGTGCTAGGATGCCCGAGACGAGCATGCCAAAGATCGACACCGGCGGAAAAAGCTCGAGGACCACCCGGAGATGACGACGACTGAACTGGGTAGAGGTCGCCGGGATTGTCACAACGGTGAAGAATCATTCTGGTGCGAGCGTCCTTAATAGAAAAGCCAACTTCGTCAAATTCCACAGTTACAAAATTGTCACGAGAAAGATTACGAACGGAAACTAAGTTCTGAATAAGATAAGGAGAAACAATGACATTATTAAGAGAAAGAGGTCAAGAGTTAGAAGGAAAGGGTGCAGAACCGACATGAGAGATGGGAAGACCAACACCGTT